CCATGGACATATTCACGAACAGCAAGGGGTTGAGCCCTAGTTGTCCGCACTGACATTGGTGCTCCTCATTACCCCTCCGCAAGTCCATGCAACGTAGATCATTCAATAAAACATTCTATATTTCATAGTTCAACATACGACAAATTAAAACATAGGACATGACAACATAGTTCAACATAGGATGGGACACTACTATAAAAAGGAGCATTAGAGGCGGTTTTGGTACATGGGCATGCAGTAGTTCCACATTTCGCGTCAAAGTTGGTGTCGCTGATACTCAGAAAATAGGAGGCGGTTTCAAAACTGCCTTGAATGTGTTCGCCCGTAGGGAGTTCCTACAATATAACCGCTTCCAACGCTTTAAGGCCCCGAGGCGGTTTCCGGTACATAACCGCCTGGAATACATTATCATTTGAAGTTGCTTCCTTTTTACAACCGCCTCCAGTAAGGTTTCCCTACCAAGTCGTACCACTAAAGACATATACATATATAGAGGCATACATATTCTCAGTCACCGCACAAGTCAATTGCATCTCGAAATACACTCAAATATGTTGAAGAGTTACACATACTTCACAATCTACATATGAAAGAAAGATCTAAAATCAAAATATTTATTACATCTAACATAGGAAAGGAAGATCTAAGATCCAAAGATTCATACACTACCCATCTCACCTTTTGGCAAAAAAAAAATGGAGGCACTACTACAGGAAGGAGATGGCAAGAATGATCATTCCACTACTCTCTATCCAAGATTCAATCGAATTGCTAGTGGAAAAGTTCCTGACGAAACATGTCTGACGCTTACACCAATAGGTAAATTTGTAGCACCATTGGTGATCTTCGTTTGTGCATGTCACAAAAATATTTCCTTCACATTAACCATTATTACTAGTGCAATAGCTCGTGTGTGGACATATGCAGCCAATAGGTGGTACAATTTATTTTGTATAGCACACAATTAGCATCCCATTCATTTTGTGCAGTGCAACTAAAATTTATTTACATATGAAAACATGATCAAGTTATCAGAAATCAAATGCAAGCAAATTTAATTAGTAATATTTATTCATCAATTGACATTAACAAATAAGTAATTGATCAACCTAAACTCCGATGATTAGTGTGGTGACGAAGTCATTTGTACTTACTCCAATCCGGTTATTTATTTGTGTAGTGCAACTAAAAGATAATACACCTCCGTGATATATATGCACAAATTTGAAGATCATAAATATGACATTTATTTATTCAGTGTACTTCGTCAAGAAGTTTATACACGACTTGGGTGGTGGTGTGATGAGGGCAGACAACACTCTCAAAGTTATTCTAGATCATGTGCACCATTTCTCAAGTAGGTAGAGACCTGGTACAAAGCAGAGACCATGTCATCTCATCTTTAAGTGCCCTCCCATCTTCTCGAGGAAAAGAAATAAAATTGCTAACTCTCTCAGCATCTTGATGACCTTCAAGACACACAAGGTTAGTGTAGCACCAGTGTAAGTAGTCTAGTGTAGTATTGTTCCCAGCGAAGAGCAGGAGGAGAGTGTTAATGCGAGTTTTCTGACGCACACAAGTTGTCACTGGACTTGTAAGAATTAACTGTTTTGGTATCTGCAAGGATTATGATGCTGGCAGAAGCAAGTAATTAACGCACAAAGTAAAATTTCAAGAGTAGTGAACAAAGAACACAAAATAACATACTGGAAATAACGGTGAGTTGTCTGCAATGTAGAGATTAGGTGTGGAGAGATGTCCGGTAGGCGAGTCACCCTTGAATGTGTCAGTGCAGCGGCAACGCATAGCCACCTATTCATGTGATTATACCACTTGTATTCGATGTCCGGTAGGCGACTCACCCTTGAATAGTCAAACTCCTCCCGTCGGGATTATTTGACTCTATTGTCTTGCCTTCCCTTGACCATCGGTTGGAAATATGCCGTAGAGTATTATATTTCTATATTCATAATTAAGAGTTTATATTCTATGCTATAAATGCCATGACCTTAAAATGTGTGATTAGGAGGGATGAGTGTATGTGCGTATATATAAACGTTTGCGTCTGTTTGAAAAGGAAATTTTCATATTGGAAAATAAAGGTTAAATTTTCCGTCCCGCACGCCACTTTGCCTTGGACACCGTGAGCTTGGAGGACAAAAGAAGGGAATCATTTCAGCAGGATAATAATGATAAAGCTCCAAGAGGCCGGCTGGTTGAATTCTCATGCCGCCTCTGATTAATCGTCGTGGTGCTAGTCTTCTTCAACAGTTGACTAAGAAGCCATCACGCCCTTGCATCAAAAGCAGATGGCCGTGAACTGTTGTGGGGAGTATCATTGATCCTTGAGCGAAGGTGCCCGCACGCACGAGGCTTCAGCGACTCCTTTTTTCTTGGCACTCGATGGATGGATGTATACCAAGTCAAAAAGGCTTTCGAGCGTATCATCTTTTCCCTGCTCGTGCAGTTTCTTCTCGGCTAAAATGATACCCTTTGCGCGCCTTTTCTGCTCTCCATGATGCGCTACACTCCTCTTCCCCCCTCCGTGTCCTTCCGGAAATAGCACCCGTTTCACTGCCACCCAAGGACCTTGCACTTCATTAGCAGCCCTCCATCGCCATTACGGACCATCATGGATGGAGGAGGGAATCTTTCTTTCGAGAGAGAAAGCCAAGGAAAAACGCTTTGCTTTGCCAAAAGATGCACTCATGGCTCACACACAGGCACACAGCAACCAGGGGCATGAATTTGTTTGTGGACTTTGAATTGTCTTAAGATAGTGACGCATGTGTGTGGTTCTTGGATAGATCCGGCACCATTTCTGTTGAATCTTTGTATTTGGCTCTGAAAACAGCTCAAGTTATATGCCCTTATAAAAACCTTTAGTTTATTAAAGTCCGGTTCAAAATCCAGAAACTCAGAGCGGCACGCAGATGCACCTTCTCAACCATGCCGGCCGCTTGATTGCCTAGCGATAAGCAAAGTTGTTAGATCCCGCACGAGGGCACAACAAGTTCTAAGTTTTAGTTTCTGAATATATAATTTTGCCGGTCGCAGGTTCTAAAATTTACAATTTTGTCGGTTGCTCCAACCAAGTTTGAGAAGTTAAAATCTAACGAAGTTTTGAAAACTCGTCTCATTTGAAAGACCTCGTCACCAGAAACATGAATATGAGGGATGCAAAAACGAAACTTAATTTGAGACTTTTGGTTTAAAAGATATGAAAGATTCAAAATCAAAAGCCAAAAGAAAATGGGGG